AAATTCCTGTAAGTTTTATGTCCATATATATCATATGGAGTATTTTAAATTTTTTTATTTATTAGGTCGGATATGCCGATATATGCGTGGATTCATCGCCAATTGAAGTCTTTTTTGTTGATCCCAAATCACATAAAACATCTTCAATAACGGTGAGTTTTTTTGGAGGTTATGAATTTTTTATTTAAGATACTATATATTTTTTATTTAAGTTGAACAAAGAAAATTTAAATAAAAATTATAATATTTTTTTGCTATAGATTATTCTATTCGAATTGACATTATAATTTTTATAATTCTATTACAAATTGATTGAATTAAGGACATTCTCTTTCTTTAAGCCAACCACCAAAGATTAAAAGCAAAGATTTTATTAATTATTTTATTATTAAAGTTAGTTTAAAGTCTGCTCATGAATCTATTTAGGTTTCCTATTTACCACCAATAAGGCTGAATTTTCAATTGCCTAAAGATTATCCAAAATCTGTGTCTCCGAAATTTGTTATTAGTTGTAACTGGCTTACACATGAACAGTTGATAAAGCTTTGTGATTATTTAGATGAAATTTGGAATACGGATCCAGGTAAAACTAATGATAATAAATAAATTAAGCTTATTTGTAGAAGATATTATTTATATATTATTACAACAGGTGAAGAAGTTTTGTATAAATGGATGCAGTTTTTGAAACATGAAACCATGACATTTTTACAAATTAAGGAAATTAATATAACTCAAAGGAAAAAAACAAATTCTGAAAAATCTCCGATCACCACAAATGACTCAGATGTTGATAATGAAAAAGAGAATAAAATAAACAATACCGAGAAAATAGATATATCATTTTCTTCTCAAAAAACTTCAAAAGATTCAAGAGTTTTAATCGATAGAAGTATAGACATGCTCATCACTAATTTGAAAGAATATAATGAAAAATGTCTTTTAGAAGAATTTAATTTAACATATGTATTTTGTGAAATATGTTTTGTATCCAATTCAGGAGCACATTGCATCAAATTCAGGTAATATATTTCATTCAGATTAGAAATTTGGATTTTAGTTTATACTTAAGTTGAATACTATTTGATTTTGCTGATTAATTAATAAGTAATCATTTGGAAAGTTTAGTGAAATATTATAATTAATAATATTTAAATTTCAATTCAAAAATGAGATCTGTAGGTTTGAAATAATAATTATTATAATCTAAATTTATACTTTGATTATAGCTGTGACCATGCTTTTTGTAAATTATGTGTGTCAGAATATTTATTAACAAAAATTAAAGATGGTAATGTCATTGGCATTACTTGTCCAGCAATAAATTGCAAGCAAGAAATCAGCATAGCTCAAATCAAGAATTTAATTTCGCAAGAAAACTTTCTCAAGTAAGTTTAGAATAACATTAATAATTCAATTGTTAATTGTTCTCTTATAATTGAAATTTTTTCTAGATTTGAAAAGCTTATGCTTAGTCAAACATTAGATACGATGATGGATATTATATATTGCCCAAGAGTAGTTTGCCAATATCCTGTTACTTACGACCCATCTGAAGCCGTTGCCTCATGTCCAAATTGCTTATATTCTTTTTGTGTACTTTGCAAAAGGGTATATCACGGTGTGGAACCTTGCAAATTAAAACAAGGTGAGTGTTATGTAGAGATATATCTAAAAATGTGTGTAGTAAGATTTTCGTGAAATACAATATATATTTGAACATATTTTTATTAAATGCGTTTTTTTCAGAGGATAGATTAGCTGTCATTGAAAAATATCAAAACGGAACCGATGAATATAGACAAGAAATAAATAAAAGGTATGGTGAAAAGTATATTAAAAGGTTATTAGAAGATCATGCTTCTGAAGAAACTATAAACAATAGCACGAAACCATGTCCAAAATGTGGAGTTCAAATAGAGGTAGCTTACATTAATTTATTTCCTAATATTTATATATGACAAAATACATATATTTATAATTAACATAAATAATTTAGAAATCGGAGGGATGCAATAAGATGACATGTAACAGATGCCAGACATTTTTTTGCTATTTATGTTCTTCAGTTTTAGACAGAGGTGATCCATATGATCATTTTGCAAATCCTGCTTCAAGATGTTATAATAAATTATTTCCGCATGAAAGAACTGAAGATGATTAAGTAGATGAAATGTTTAACAATATTTTATTTTTTGATACTATATTTTTAACAATTTTATTTAATTTATTTGTATAAATAGATAATTCCTATATTTATATTAAATTGTATAAATGTAAAAAGACCTATGTTTAAAAAATATATTTTCATAATGAACACTATTTAAAAGTAGTCTTTCAATTAAGGCTGCATTCTTAAAGCTCCATCAACTCGAATCACTTCACCATTTAGAAGAGGATTTTCAATAATTGTTTGTACCATATGAGCAAATTCAGAGGGCTCTCCAAGTCTTTGAGGAAATGGAATAGTTTTTGCCAAAAATGCTCTTACTTTCTCTGGAAGTTGTTGTAGAAGTGGTGTGTTGAATAAACCTTAAAAAAAAATTGCCTAAGAAGAGGTATGCTATTTATAAATTCTCATTAAATAGTAGCTCTTGTACTCTTCATTTGAAATAAACAGGAAAACAGTCTAAAATTTATAACAATATAGAAGTTGTCTTAAAATTATAGAACTTCAATATTGCAATTACTTTCTTATAATATTCTTTGAAGACTCTCTTTCGTTAAAAATTAAAATTCTCAGAATTAAATAATCGTATTTCCAGTAATACCTGGTGCCAGAGTGACCACTCGAATGCCTTGACTCGCTAAATCTCTAGCAATAGGCAGTGTCATTCCAACAATAGCACCTTTGGACGCAGAATAAGCAGCTTGTCCCATCTGTCCATCATAAGCAGCAACACTTGCTGTGTTTACAATCACTCCTCGTTGACCATCCTTATTAGGTTCATTTACTCCCATCAATCCAACAGACAATCGAATTACATTGAAGGTTCCAACAGTATTAACCTATTCAATTAATGATGAAAAATGTAAGAGCATTCGAGAACTGTAAAGCAACAAATTTTTTAAAAATCATTAAGATAATGTTACTGCTTTTAAATAATCTAATTCTTCTAAGAAAAATTCATATAATAAACGCAAAGCGATTCTTAGAAAAGCCGGTTAAATGAGAATTGTTTCATCTTTTTGTAAGAAGTTGATTTCATTACATTCAAATTTTTAAATAATACTGACTCTTACTTACCATTAGAACTTTTGTAAAATCTTCTAATTTATGAGGCAACTGCTTATTGAAATTATATGTTTTAAATGCTACACCGATACCAGCACAGTTTACAGCAACATCAAGGCGACCAAATTTTTCTTTAGTTAATGCTATTGCTTCCTCAACATCTTTTTCAGATGTGACCTAATAACAAAATGTAAGTTAGTTGGACGTGCAAATATTTAGGCCAAGATTTCTTAGATATTGAAAAATTACAATAATACATATATACATCTCAAAACTGCATAAACTCTATTGTTTTTCTAAAAATGATCTACTTCTGAAATACTTACATCAACTGGTGCATATAAACAATTATCTCCAATATCTTTAGCTACTTGAGATCCACTTGATTTAGGTAAATCACATAAAACTACTCGGCCACCTTGTTGCACAATTCGCTCCACAGTGGCCTTTCCCAAACCAGAAGCACCTCCAGTAACAAGACCTACAACGCCCTGAAAAGAAATGACATTAAATTTCAAGCCACAAAGGATGAAAAAACAATTTAAAAATATTATTAAATTATTTAGATGCTCTATAACTAGGTTATAATTCAAACTTTTATGTTTGTTCGATAGTACAAAAATATTATCCCACCTTCAACATTTTGAGAGATGATTTGAAAAAATTGTTGTGAATATAAAATATATAAAATGAAATCTAATCTGTGTCTTTTCAAGATAATATTTTACAAAATTTGAATGACATTGTTTTGACCGCGTGATATTCCAAAGTAGCCAAAGACCTTTGACAATAAACAGGGTCAAACTTCATTGCTTTTGATAGTTTGTTTTGGTTGAATAAATTAAAATTAATAAAGCATAATCGATGCATAACTGCACACGTAAATTTACAATTGAAATATTTAGGAAAATATTCATCAAATAATTGATTTAATTTTTTTGAAATATTGAAACTCGCAATTACATTTTTGAATTTAAATGAAAACCAATCTTTATAAAAATAATTATTACAAAAGTAATTACGTATATATTACATAATACTAGCCATTTTTAATTATTTCAATAGTAATTAATTCAATTTAATCGAAAATGATTACTGAATTTCGATTTCCTAGATAGAAATGCCCTGTCTGCTTTGGAAAACAGAGTGTGGCGGTGTTTACAAAATTTATATAGTGTTCTTTTCTTAAATCATAGATAAATAAGCATTTAATAGCAAATTTTAAATAGTTAGTCAAATTTAAATTGCTTGTAGGTAAAAGTATTTACAAAATATAATTTATGTGAATGAAGATTATAATTACTTAATATTTTAAATTAGGATTGTAATTACTTATTATTTTAAATATTATAATTTTTTTATATGATATAAAATTTTATATGATAAAACATTAATGAATTTACTTCTTATTTGTTTAAATTTTATTATGAATTTTATAATGTTAGATTTTATGTGTTATTTTTTCATAAATTTATATTTTAGCGGGCTTTGTATTTCAGTTGTTTTCGTTTCTTAGGTTGGCATTACGACTGTCACTGTGCGGCCTTTGACAGTAGTTAAACAAATTTGACAGCTACGATCATACAAAGCGATTAATAACATTCATGCAAAATTCGATTGAATAATGTGTTATTGTGAAATGATGCGTTTAGAAAACATGCGTTAAGCTTAAGGAATTAAGTTAATTCATGTTTTAGTTATATATTACATTATAACCTTTTTTCATAATTGAATGCTCTTAGATCTAATTAAGTAAGGGCGATAACTTATTTTGAAAAAATGCGTTTAGAAGTGTAGATGTAATTTTATTTTTGGCACTTATTTAATAAATATATAAATTGTGGTCTTATCTGACAATGGATCTCAGTAATAACGAAAATGGTGAGTGAAACCGTTCATTTTGACATTATTACTTTGTGCAATATATTTTTTGTATAATATATAACTTTATTTCTTCATTAACTTTAATTATCTTCTGTATTTTTTATTCTTCATGGAATTGAATCCTACAATTCTACTTCTGAATGAATGATTGACAAAATGGCTAAATATTACTACGTTTTATTTATATCGTTATTTTAATTAATATTAAAATTGATTCAAATCTAAGATTAATAACCATCAGTGGTAACTAAATTAAATGTCAAATACAATAATTGGCGGAATAATTTAGGCTTCTGTTAATTTACTATACAAGTGATTGATTAATTTTGTATAAATTAATTAATTCATATGTAAGCTATTAATTGGGATTTTTTACTAGAATTATCTTGATCTATATCTTAATCTTTTCAGCATTAGATTAATTTTTATTTGTTTTAGATTCATACGACTACGACACGCCTTCGGATACGGATCATGAGTCTAGCCATGTAGCAGGACATGGCCGAGCTTCCAGTGGGTCGCAAACATCACGTGGAAGTGATGGCTCATCTTATCAGCGCAACAGTCAAGTGTACCAACAGCAGATATCAGGTTCCTCCTCTGCAGGAGGTGATAGACCACCTGATGTTACTGGTATCGGTGATACTGTGGATGCTGGAAATAATTCATCAAGCTGGTCTTCTGCACCGAAAATGGGTTAGAAAATTTCAAAAATATTTTTGTTGTCTTAATACTAAGATAATTTCTGAGATAAATCAGTATTTCATATTATGAAAATTGATTATATAAATTTGATCATGCTGTGACCTGTAACTTCTAATCATGGTTATAACACAACTGTATTTTAAGTAAGAGTATTTATTATGGCAGAAAGGAGAAAGAAATGTATTTTTAAGTATTTTCATTAAATTAAAATACATATTTATGATTTTATATTGCTGCGCTAAACTTATTTCAATAATATCTTTTCTAAATCAGGAAGTTTTTCGGAGAAAAATAATTCAATAAAAACTAGAAAACAATTATTTGATTTACATCAATAATAAAAAAACTTCTTAAGTGCGAAACGTTACAGTACATTTGCCCTATGTTTGTTTATTGATACAATCACATTCATATTAAATGATCTTATATGAAATACTTTTAATTAATATAGATAACTTTTATTATGTGTATTTATTTCCAGAAAGCAAACATTCTACGGTAAGCAGCGGCAGCAGTCGTGGTACTCTGCTTCCGTGGTGCGCTGGTGCGAACCGAGAGCGCGTTGCTTTAGTTACGCCTGTGCAAACTGAATCTTCAGCGGGATCTGATCTTTTGCCAGGAGAGTTCGTTATGAGATCTTTGTTTGCTGATTTTGCGATTCAAGCCGATCGCAAAATGGAAACTGTTATGGCTGAACCACCGGTAAGGACAATCAATAACTTAATTGCACATTAACGCCAGTTTCGTTCAATTGATAATGGTCTATAATTAATAAATTTTAATTACTAGACATTATAATCTTATATATAAAAATGGAGCTCTCTTTCAAATGTCCGAATAAAACTCGAAAACGGCTGAATCGATTTGGCCAGTCTTAGTCTTGAAAAATTCGTGCCAATCCAGAGAATGTCCAAAAGGTGAGAAATTATTTCAAATCCGCGTAGAAACTTTACATTTATAATTTGAAAATTTTTGTAGAAGCGTAATTTAAATAGAACAATGGACGGTGGCAATTTTGTGAAATGTCAAATGCTTTTGACAGATGATGTTCAATTACGTTTAATAGGATGTTTTGCGCGAATATTTACGACAATATAAGTCGAAAGACAAAAAAAAAACTTGGATTGGATTTTACCATGTTTTCTATAGAAAGTATATAAAACTTCCAGTTTGATTGTATTGACAAAATATCGGTAATCTTTGAAAATCCATAATAAAAGCATTTTCTTCCGTTAGTAGTTTTTTAGTATTAGTTAAAAATGTAATTATTTTGTAAAATACCTTTGAATTAAAATAAGGTTTTGACGTATTTGCCACCTGACCGTTCCAAGTTACCCCGCCTATAGGTTAAAAAGGTGCCGATAACGAATTTTTGAAAGACGGAAAATCTCGGAATATCCGAATCTCGGAATATCCGAATCTCGGAATATCCGAATCTCGGAATATCCGAATATCCGAATATCCGAATATCCGAATATCCGAATATCCGAATATCCGAATATCCGAATATCCGGACTTTCTATTATCCGAATATCCGGACTTTCGGTTATCCGGACTTTCGGTTATCCGGACTTTCGGTTATCCGGACTTTCGATTATCCGGACTTTCGGTTATCCGGACTTTCGATTATCTGGACTTTCGGTTATCCGGACCTTCGGTTATCCGGACTTTTGGTTATCCGGACTTTCGGTTATCCGGACTTTCGGTTATCCGGACTTTCGGTCATCCGGACTTTTGGTTATCCGGACTTTCGGTCATCCGGACTTTCGGTCATCCGGACTTTCGATTATCCGGACTTTCGGTTATCCGGACTTTCGGTTATCCGGACTTTCGGTTATCCGGACTTTCGGTTATCCGGACCTTCGATTATCCGGACTTTCGGTTATCCGGACTTTCGGTTATCCGGACTTTCGGTTATCCGGACCTTCGATTATTCGGACTTTCGGTTATCCGGACTTTCGGTTATCCGGACTTTCGGTTATCCGGACTTTCGGTTATCCGGACTTTCGGTCATCCGGACTTTCGGTCATCCGGACTTTCGATTATCCGGACTTTCGATTATCCGGACTTTCGGTTATCCGGACTTTCGGTCATCCGGACTTTTGATTATCCGGAATTCGGATTATCCGGAATTATATTATATATCATAAATGTAAATTAAATCCAAAAAGATGATGTCACCAACACTTTTCTAACTTTTAGAAGTTTTTCCGGGGTCCGGAAAGTCCGGATAATCGAATGTCCGGATAATCGAATGTCCGGATAATCGAATGTCCGGATAATCGAATGTCCGGATAATCGAATGTCCGGATAATCGAATGTCCGGATAATCGAATATCCGGATAATCGAATGTCCGGATAATCGAATGTCCGGATAATCGAATGTCCGGATAATCGAATGTCCGGATAATCGAACGTCCGGATAATCGAACGTCCGGATAATCGAACGTCCGGATAATCGAATGTCCGGATAATCGAATGTCCGGATAATCGAATGTCCGGATAATCGAATGTCCGGATAATCGAATGTCCGGATAATCGAATGTCCGGATAATCGAATGTCCGGATAATCGAATGTCCGGATAATCGAATGTCCGGATAATCGAATGTCCAAATAATCGAATGTCCGGATAATCGAATGTCCGAATAATCGAATGTCCGGATAATCGAATGTCCGAATAATCGAATGTCCGGATAATCGAACGTCCGGATAATCGAATGTCCGGATATCAAACGTCCGGATAATCGAACGTCCGGATAATCGAACGTCCGGATAAACGAATGTCCGGATAATCGAATGTCCGGATAATCGAATGTCCGGATAATCGAATGTCCGGATAATCGAATGTCCGGATAATTGAATGTCCGGATAATCGAATGTCCGGATAATCGAATGTCCGGATAATCGAATGTCCGGATATTCGAATGTCCGGATAATCGAATGTCCGGATAATCGAATGTCCGGATAATCGAATGTCCGGATAATCGAATGTTCGGATAATCGAATGTTCGGATAATCGAACGTCCGGATAATCGAACGTCCGGATTATCGAACGTCCGGATTATCGAACGTCCGGATAATCGAACGTCCGGATAATCGAATGTCCGGATAATCGAATGTCCGGATAATCGAACGTCCGGATAATCGAACGTCCGGATAATCGAACGTCCGGATAATCGAACGTCCGGATAATCGAACGTCCGGATAATCGAACGTCCGGATAATCGAACGTCCGGATAATCGAACGTCCGGATAATCGAATGTCCGGATAATCGAATGTCCGGATAATCGAATGTCCGGATAATCGAACGTCCGGATAATCGAACGTCCGGATAATCGAACGTCCGGATAATCGAATGTCCGGATAATCGAATGTCCGGATAATCGAACGTCCGGATAATCGAACGTCCGGATAATCGAACGTCCGGATAATCGAACGTCCGGATAATCGAACGTCCGGATAATCGAACGTCCGGATAATCGAACGTCCGGATAATCGAACGTCCGGATAATCGAACGTCCGGATAATCGAATGTCCGGATAATCGAATGTCCGGATAATCGAATGTCCGGATAATCGAACGTCCGGATAATCGAATGTCCGGATATCGAACGTCCGGATAATCGAACGTCCGGATAATCGAACGTCCGGATAATCGAACGTCCGGATAATCGAATGTCCGGATAATCGAATGTCCGGATAATCGAATGTCCGGATAATCGAATGTCCGGATAATCGAATGTCCGGATAATCGAATGTCCGGATAATCGAATGTCCGGATAATCGAATGTCCGGATAATCGAATGTCCGGATAATCGAATGTCCGGATAATCGAATGTCCGGATAATCGAACGTCCGGATAATCGAACGTCCGGATAATCGAACGTCCGGATATCCGAACGTCCGGATAATCGAACGTCCGGATAATCGAATGTCCGGATAATCGAATGTCCGGATAATCGAATGTCCGGATAATCGAATGTCCGGATAATCGAATGTCCGGATAATCGAATGTCCGGATAATCGAAAGTCCGGATAATCGAAAGTCCGGATAATCGAAAGTCCGGATAATCGAACGTCCGGATAATCGAACGTCCGGATAATCGAACGTCCGGATAATCGAACGTCCGGATAATCGAACGTCCGGATAATCGAACGTCCGGATAAACGAATGTCCGGATAATCGAATGTCCGGATAATCGAATGTCCGGATAATCGAATGTCCGGATAATCGAATGTCCGGATAATCGAATGTCCGGATAATCGAATGTCCGGATAATCGAATGTCCGGATAATCGAACGTCCGGATAATCGAATGTCCGGATAATCGAATGTCCGGATAATCGAACATCCGGATAATCGAACATCCGGATAATCGAATGTCCGGATAATCGAATGTCCGGATAATCGAATGTCCGGATAATCGAATGTCCGGATAATCGAACATCCGGATAATAGAATGTCCGGATATCCGAACGTCCGGATAATCGAATGTCCGGATAATCAAATGTCCGGATAATCAAATGTCCGGATAATCGAATGTCCGGATAATCGTAATGTACAAAAAATGGCAGTTCTTGAGAGAACTAAGTGCCCGATTTGAATGATTCAAAGAACTTTCTGCTATTCAGATATTCGGATATTCGGGTATTCGGATATTCGGATATTCGGATATTCGGATATTCGGATATTCAGATATTCGGATATTCCGAGATTCGGATATTCCGAGATTCGGATATTTCGAGATTCGGATATTCCGAGATTCGGATATTCTGAGATTCGGATATTCGGAGATTCGGATATTCGGATATTCGGATATTCGGATATTCGGATATTCGGATATCCGGAATATCTGAATATCCGGAATATCTGAATATCCGAATATCTCTAGAAATTGATCAGAATATACATTACTTAGCATATTTTGTTCATTATAATCAGGAAAGACCTATATCAAAAGTTTTACAACGTGGAGAGGATCCTCAATTTGATCAATTGTTGAGTGCTTTTGGATCTGTTGCGGAGCACTGTCTGCCTTCGTTATTGCGTGCACTGTTCGGTTGGTATGAACGTCAGATGGCCCAAGGCGGCGCTACTGAACAGAAAAAAGTTGACCAGAAAGGAAAAAGGTATTGTATTCAGTAGATATTTCAATTCACCCAGAGATCTATTTATTATATGTACAATATGCGTAAACACAACATACCAGTAAATGATTTTCATATACACAAATGAAAAATGTTTAATTATTATTGTTATTATTATTAGATGTATTAAAAAACATACTTTTCAAATGAAATAACACATCATTTATTGTTTACAATAAACTTGTGCAAAATAAATGCTTACATTCATCCATAACATCAAATAATATATTTTTTTTACTGTTTCAGTATTATGTACAGTATTGTATCCGGTCCACCTGAACCTGTTGAGAGAAGTGAGGCTGATATACAAATGGAGAGAAGAGACTTAGCTGTAGAATTTTTATTCTGCTTAGCACTCATCGAAGTGTTGAAGCAATTACCATTTCATCCAGGGCATGAAGATCTCATTACTTATATTGAACAAATTTCCTTTAAACATTTTAAATATAGAGAAGGGTAAGATTAAAATATTAATATATAGTTTAATACATCTGCTTTTATTTAGTATTTATAAACTCGTCTTGTTATCTTAGTATACAATCGGGACCAAATGCCGCGAACATACATATCATAGCTGATTTATATGCAGAAGTTGTAGGAGTACTGGCACAAAGCCGATTCATGTCTGTTAGAAAACATTTTATGAATGAGTTGAAAGAACTACGTACCAAAGAAGCTAGTCCAACAACTACACAGTCTATCATATCTTTACTCATGGGTATGAAATTTTTTAGAGTCAAGGTTAGTCAACATATATTTATAGTTCTATTTCGGTAAAAGTTGAATAGTAATAGTAAAATTGTAATTAATAGTTATAGTAAATATCATCAAATCAGATTTTGAAATTTTGAATTATTATATTGCTTGTATTTTATGTTTCCAGATGGTTCCAATTGAAGAATTCGAAGCCAGTTTTCAATTTATGCAAGAGTGTGCGCAATATTTTCTTGAAGTGAAAGATAAAGATGTGAAACATGCATTGGCTGGACTGTTTGTAGAAATTCTAGTTCCAGTTGCTGCGGTTAGATTCTAAATTTTAATACAATTATCTATAACAAGCTATAATATAACTAATTTAATTTTATATCCTTAAATTTGAATATTTTATGCTAATGCAGTTTATAATTCAATTCAAGTCATATTTCAATGTAATATGTAAATTTATTTATTAATTCATATTATTTTTTTCAGGCTGTTAAAAATGAAGTTAATGTGCCTTGTCTTAAAAATTTTGTAGACATGCTATACTCGCAAACCTTGGATGCCAGTACTAAATCAAAGCATCGGCTGGCACTTTTTCCATTAGTCACTTGTTTACTCTGCGTTAGTCAGAAGACTTTCTTTTTAGCTAATTGGCACTACTTTTTAGCTATGTGTTTATCAAATTTGAAGAATAGAGATCAAAAAATGTGTCGAGTCGCATTAGGTAAATATATTAATTCATTTGATACCATTTATTCCAATTTTTTCTCATAATATCTAATTTGTTATCTATAATTAAATGTTTAATTTTAGTATAATTACTTTCTATTTTGAATTTCTTTTTTAATATACTATTTTGCTTGCAGAGTCACTATATCGTCTTTTATGGGTGTACATGATCCGTATAAAATGCGAAAGCAATCAAGCAACTCAATCGAGATTACAAAGCATTGTCAATTCTCTATTTCCTAAAGGATCAAAAGCTGTGGTACCTCGTGATACGCCTTTGAATATTTTTGTGAAAATTATTCAATTCATAGCTCAAGAACGATTAGATTTTGCTATGAAAGAAATTGTTTTTGATTTGTTATCAGTAGGAAGAACCATCAAAATAATTCTTACTCCTGAGCGAATGAGTATAGGTTTGAGATCATTTTTGGTGGTTGCAGATAGCTTGCAACAAAAAGAAGGTGAACCGCCAATGCCTAGAACAATGGGAGTATTACCCTCAGGAAATACTCTTAGGGTAAAGAAAACATTTTTAAATAAAATGTTGACAGAAGATACTGCCAGAAGTATTGGTATGAATAGCTATTTTCCACATGTGAGAAGAGTCTTTGTTGACATTTTAAGAGCTCTAGATGTTCAATATGGAAGACCATTAATGATGACAAATACTCAGAATGTTAACAAAGAACCAGATGAAATGATTACAGGAGAGAGAAAACCTAGGATCGACTTGTTTAGAACTTGTGTTGCAGCTGTACCTAGACTGATACCGGATGGTATGACTGGTGCTGAATTGGTTGATTTATTAGCTCGCCTGACTGTACATTTAGATGAAGAATTAAGGGTATTGGCTTATCAAAGTTTACAGACATTGGTGCTTGATTTTCCTGATTGGAGACAGGACGTTATATGTGGTTTCACACAGTTTCTGGCTAGGGATGTTTTGGATACTTTTCCACAGGTAAACTAAAGAAAGCAATAATTAAGTAATGAATCTATTTAGATGGCATAGTAAATTATTAGTTTAAATATATGATTACTAATATTTTTAAATTTAAATTTAGTTTGTGTATGTAATTTAATTACAAGAGCAGAGCATAATTACAAATAACTATTTGTTGAAACACTTTCTTATATTTTCAATTTAAATAGTTGTCATAAAATTATTTATATTTATGGTTGAATTTTTTTGTATTTAATTAATATTTTTTACAGCTTGTTGATAATGGTCTAAGAATGTTGCTACAACTCTTAACCAGCTGGAAAAATGCTCTAACCAGTGTCGCGGCAAATGCTTCTGCTAGAGCTAAAGAAAGCCCAGAGTCTAATGGATCTAAAAAAATAGATATTGTGAGTTTCCATTGTAATATTACTTTGTTTAATTAGCAATTGCATCCGTGTAATATATTACCACTAATATTATATTATAGAAAGTAGAACCAGCATCTTCAATACTCCATATGGTTGAAGGATTTGCTTTAGTTATGTTATGCAACTGCAGAGTATTTCCAAGGAAATTAGCTGTACACATATTACGCGAGGTAAAGCATAAATGTTAATGAAGGAATCATAAATTCATGAAAATCAATGTAAAATACATGTGAACCAAACTCTTTTCAGGCAAAAATGCTTTTAAAAGCATTGTGTATCACTGAAGAAGATCAGGCTGTCATCGATGTTATAGACAAGTGCTGCCCACAAGTATATTAATATTTTCTTCTTATCAAATGATAAACTATTACATTTTTTATTATTATTATTCTAGGTTATAGAAAAATTACTTCCTAGTTTACCAGCTGCAGAAAAAACTGCTGCATTAGCTGCTTCGACCATAGACTTACAGTGGATCGCCGATAGAAGTGCCTCCGTATGGACCGCTGACGATTCATGTAATTATAAAAACGAAAGAATGTGGTAGAGAGCCGTTTATTGAATCTCATAATTTGATTTCGTGTTAGGTAACGCAAATCGTTCAACAACTTCATTGAATTCAGGTGCCATGGACCCTTGGAGTGCTTGCTTATTTGCTTTCCTTGAGCGTGGACGAGTCCTTACACATTGTCCTCTTGCTGTGACCCATTCATGGCCATTTGTTTTCGGCAGAGTTACTACTCTTTTCACGGTTGTTGATCCAACGTGAGTACTAAAAAAGTTTCTAAATTATTTACCATTAGCAACTTTAAATTCGTTTTCGTTGAACACATATTGAATATATAAAGGTAATAAACTTTAAATTGAACTTTTAATTAAACTTCCACAAATAAAATAATGAAAACATTTAAACAAACAAATTAAATATTGATTAAAATTTTGTAACTTTCAGTCCTGTGTCAGACAACAGAGCTTCATTGTTAAGAAGTAGTGCCGTTCCTCGACGTCCAGTTACCGAACGCGACGTTTACATGCATCTTTGGAAGAATTATGTTACTTTTGCATATCGTGTGGTACCTCCGGCTCCTTGTCCGAGCGTGAGGTGTGCCTCGCCTGACTTAAGTCTCAGGTAAGTGTTTTCTTAATTTATCATCCTAGTTTTATTTTGAATGATCTCTTATTCCGTATAAACATATTCTTACAAAACTTGAAGATTCGATTTAAAGGTCGATTGTGTGGACATTGATACTCTATTTGTAGTTCAGAGTAATTAATTTATAAATTCGTTTTATTTTTTGTATAGTTTTTTTTAGTATTTACCACAAATATTAGTTTGTTGTATTTTATGACTTATTCGTTTCTTAAAAGTTATGCAGACTATAGTCTATATAGAGATATATCTCTATTAACTAGAAACTATAATATTAATAAATATTATCGTAATCCAGTGAAAATAAGCATGTTTCATAATTCTTTTAACTCTAATAAGAACAACAAATATTTTGAGGTGAATTTCATTTTTCAATTATTTTATTTTACAACCGATTAAAAAAAAAAGTTGTTGTTTGCATGTAAGTAGTAGAAATATTGATTATATGTTATAGATAAAACTATTATGCTCACTACATAATTCTTAATCTTAGGTATTCCAAAGCCGTTATATAAAATAGCCCCTTTTTTCTTAAACTTTTAATAAATATATTTTCGTTTGCACAGCGCGTCGACCAATTTATGGCTCTAAAATGGCCAGCTATAATCAGTTTAATGAAAAACTTTATTTCAATAATAATAGAACTTGATCTGTTTGTAACAAAATATTATTCGACCTCATCTTATCCATATCATATATTATTTTATATATTACGCTCTTATTTTATCATACGCTTCCGAAGCATCAAATTTTAACCGTAGTCATAACTAATTTTACAAACTAATTAAATCAATTAATCTATTAAACCATATATTTTTAATAAAATTAACATTTAGTTTTATTATTGCATTGTGATTGCATGCTTTAATTTGCTTATTTAATCAAAATGTTGCAATTTTTTCTGCGTTAACATCGCAGACTACAACAAATTCTATTATAATTTACTATTCATTCAAATTGAGAATTATGCATTTTTTTACCCAGACAAGTATCAGATAATAGAATCCAGTATACAAATTAAAAATAACTAAATAATTTTGGCGCTGCTTTAATTTTAATCAGTATGGAACTTGAAACTGAATATATTTTATTATTATTATACCATAAGAATAAAAAACTTGCATGGTTTGAAATTTTGATGTTTAACACAATAGTATTTAATATTACTTAAATTCTACTAATTTATGAATGTTAACAAGTTTTTTGTGTGGTTTGTATTAATTTAATTTGATTAAGAATAATAATAATTTAATGTGATTCAGGTCATTTATGATTATGATAACTTGGAAATTAAATTGTGTTTATTGAATTTGTGTAATTATCATATTTCTGTCGACACTAAAGCTTTTGTATGACAGGCTACGAATTTGCTTATGCTAGTGTTTTGATTCATTAATTATGATATATGTTTTTAGTGATCATATCAGATAGACGCTAATCAGTCATTTTTTTCAGTCATAATCATTTACTCGTTTATTGTTAATGTAAGCTTATTCGTACCTGAACATGTGCGTTATTGATAGCGAATATAATAAGTATCTAATTACTTAAGCATTTCAGAATGATGTTATCATGTTTTATCTAATTGCTGCTCGTTTCCATGATATAGTAGCCCATTGCCATTATTTATTCGTCGTTTTATGTAGAAAGCATTGTGTAGTTGAAACTAATTTTGAAATAAGCTGCATCGAATGCAGTTTTCCTTTGAGTTCACAGATGAACTAACAATTCTTGTTTTTAACGACTGATTCATTTTTAACACCATCGGTCTTTTGCCTTGTACTTTCTCCATTAATTTAATTACATTTTGAAACTTTTCAAATCATCTTTCTAGGATTTTTGAACGGTTTATCCAAATCTCTGACATTTGCAAATCAATATCATAATTTCAGAATTTCACTAGTTTATAATCCTGAATCACTCTATCCATCTGTTGAATATCTGATGATTTTAGTTGTGAATTTTTTCAAGAAATATGATTATTTGATCAACTTGTGCCTCAAATATTTCAAGTGTTTAACATCTTCTTTAAATTTTCTATTGATATTTTTATGTACTTACGACGATATTAATTTGCATATTCTATGTATTCCTCTACGTATCTATTCATCTATATATCATATTTTGTAACTTGTCAGGGAACAACAAATGTCTTCTCATCGCAACTTTTGTCATTGTGCAATATTTTTAACTCAATCGACACGTGTCTTGCTATCTATTCTTCTTTATGTAATTGAATAACAGTATTGGTTACAAATATTTGTGCAATAAAAATAAAACCGCATTGAAATTGGATATTCTTAGTTGAGATGTCCAAAGTACATAATACAATTGTGCCTTGTTGCAATACAACCCTAAACAAATAGCACATCGGGAACCGACTCTTGTGATAGCAGCGCCGCATTGGCCTCCACTCGCCTGAGCGATTCTATGGAAGATCTTCACCAGGCGGTAGCTGCGCCCACACCACCAACTCCGCCTCTGCCGCCACTGGTGACAGCAACGCTGCAATCAGGATTAGCGGCTAGATTCACTCTTCCCTTGTCGTATGGACGCAGAGACAAACAACACAAGAGGACTAGGTATAGCAAATAGAACGAATCGAGAAAACAATTTTAAACTAAAGGATAGGATTTTCACGCGCTTTTAGAGATAGTGCTAGTGGATAATTTGCGAAAAATGTTTCGTACTAATATAAATTTTATGAAGATATAATATAAATGAAGTATCGCTTTCTTTTTCATATTGATTATAAAAGCAATCTTGTTAACTTCCCGTAGTAAGTTAGTAATGGGCCGAAAATCGAAATTGAAAATTTTTACATTTCTCGACGTTTTGAAGGTTTCTGAACATTTTGGCATACCTCAGAAAAAATGGATGTGTGTGTGTATGTATGTATGGATACAAATTTCCAGTCAAGTTTTCGGGCGCACGGATCAACCAATTTGAATGGTTAAAAAATCATTCGATTCCTATTGATAGGGAGAAGAGCTGATTAGTTTTTGGCAAAGGCAGATCCAGCATTTACGGAGATAAAGAGCAAAGAGTGCAGAAAATAAAAATTGAGTTTTTGAGAGAACGGAGCATCCGATTTGAATGATCCAAAAAACATTCAATTTGTAATGACGGGGAGAAGTGGTGATTAGTTTATGGCAAAGGCAGGTCCAGGGGTTTCGGAGATACAGAGCTAAATGTGCAAAAAATGGTAGATTTTGAGGGAACTAAGCGTCTGATTTGAATGATTTAAAGAACTTTCTGCTTGTTTTAAAAAAATAATTGATTTTGGAAAAAAAATTGTTTCAATTTTTTTAAATTTTTTTTTGTATAAAATAATCCAGATTTCTATTTTAATTCTGTTCTAATATACCTTAAACAAATAATTTCAACTTTCCAATTCAGTTTATGTAATTGTTATAAATATTAGACAATGTTACAATATTTATATTAATCATCTCGTTACGGTACGGGAAGTTCCTGCAATTTGCCTCAAGGCACGATGCCTTAATTGCCTTAAGACAGAATTCCACGTACAGCTAGTTTTGTTATTATTATCAATAATAATATTTTTTATATAGATTTTTATCGCACACTTTGTTCATTATTCATAGGATACATTTTTATGAAATTATCCATTAGCACTTGATCTCGAACTGTTTTTTGTGTGAGGATAGCAGGTCAATAAAAACTTTGTGCTTTTGGGATGTTTTTAAAATTGGTTGAGTTCGTTGGTTGTCAACTTAACTATTTTAATTTATGTTTGAGAATAAAAAACAAAATCATCATAAATAATATATAAATATACATACATCATGATTTTGAACATGATATGTGCTGCAATGAGCTTTTATTCTTTTTGTGTGGATTTCCTTAATAACAATATGAAACATTTATCTAAAAGTTACTAATTAAAAGGTTTGTTATTTTAATGAACTGCAGTGATGAAACTTTGATTTGAATTAATTTTTTTTACTAACAACGTTAATTAGATAAAAAAATGGGACCGAACAAATTATGTTGATATAAGACCTATTTTTGTACTCATGGATAAATATGTGGATATACACAATATTTGATATAAAATTTTAGTTAGAACTAACTAAAATAATTGTGAATAACTTTTGTTGAATTTGTTTTGATATTATATACACAGGATTCCTAAATTTTTATGTTACCTGAATTTCATTATTATATGTTTTTAGTAACTTTGGGTTTGCTGATAAATTAGTTACTATCACCGATACTGTTAAGCAAATATTTGTGTATATCCATACACAAATATTTACTTTAGCTTTTATATTTATTTGCAGAGATACATATTTATGTTTTATGTAACAAATCTTATCGCCTCATGTATCAAACTAATACATTAGGGAAACATTGAAATAAGTTAATAGTTCATTAGTTGACAACCAATTTTTTATATACATCTATATGTAAATTTGTAAATATACGAGGTCTGTTCAAAAAGTACCCGGAATTTTCGTTTTTTCAAAAAAATATTTATTTATTCGTCTACATTAATGTGGTCCCCTTCAAAGTAGTCCCCCCCAGATATAATACACTTATGCCAGCGTTTTTTCCAATTTTCGAAGCACCCTTGATATTCACTTTTTGATATGTCCTTGAGCACTCTCAGCGATTTTCTTCAATCGAGGAAAACCGCCGTCCTTTCATGGGTCTCTTCAACTTTGGGAATAGGAAAAAGTCACACGGAGCCATATCTGGTGAATTTTTGCACTTTGCAACACTTTATTTCATTTTTTACGCAAAATTTAATACAAATTCTTTGACTTTTCAATTCTTCCATTGTAAAAATCGCCGAGCTCAGAAAAACACGTCGAACCTTAGCGACTACCACAGACAAAGTAAACAGTGAATATAGCTGAAAATTTCATCATACTTTAGGGGCATGTATACCAACACAATAAAAAAAAAATTTTGACAATCAGACACTCCAGACCCGCGAAATTTAATTATTAGTAATTCCGGGTACTTTTTGAACACACCACGTACATAATATGTATGTATATATAGCGGCACTAAGATTTGTAAATACAAAATGTTTATTGCTGATGAAGATTACTACACAGAGCACTTGGAGCAGAAAAGTAACTTTAAGATTGTTCTTAATTTTCAATGAAAATTGAAATAGTGTCTCGCAATGAAATAGTGTTGATAACGCAAGATAAATTTGGTTTCTGAATTTCCAAGTATCACAATCATAACTTAAGTATTGCATGACTATTAAATTATATTAATATAATGCATGTGATTGTTAAGCATGAGCATGATGTAATGCAAATTCTTGGGTATAATAGAATTTGAAATATTGCATGGAAGTTAATATAATAATATTATTATTAGAATACCTATATCATTGAAGTTTATTCTATAAAAATTTGATTTATGAAGACTCCGTGTTTTTATGAACTGAGCAGTTATGGTATAGTTTTTGTATTATTAATTGGAAATTAATGTATAAAATAATGTAATCACAACTAAAAGATCTAAATTTATTTCAGCTATGCTGATGGATGCTTGAAAAACTTGATTATGTCTTTCTCTATGCGAAATACAATGACTTTATACTTATATACTTATACACCTATATAAAATAAAATAATGATATAAAATCTATATTCACATTCACACATTAATGAACATTGAATACTGTTATAAAAAAAATTATGACTATGAAGTCGCGAGTTAACGTTGGAAATATCCCTATAAATGTTATTGTTAATTGATCAATTAAGCATTCGGTTATATTTTTACTTCCCACAGTTCGTCACCAGATTCTTTGAGTGCAGAAAGAGGTGACAGTAAGTCGCCTGGTGCACCAGCCGGTCCTGCTCCGGCAGCTCTGTATAAATTGACGGTTCCACTTTTACGATGCGAAGCAGCTGATGTGCGAGATGCAGCAGCTGGAGCTCTGGGAAAAGTCAATGCTGAAGCATTGAAGTAAGTAGTATTTTTTATCATTAATAATTAGAAAATTATGACGGCAATTAAATTTTTAAGAATTGTCTTCTTAAATTAGAAATCGATTATTCTTCTAAAATACGTTTCATAAATTTTATTTTCAATTATACATTTTTTGTTTTCTTTCAGAGATCTTATGGAAGAATTAGTTCCTTACATTCGTGAAGCTGTTGACCGAAAACAAGAAAATATGAGACGTCGTAGACGTCGTGATGCTTTACGATTGCAGCTGGTACGGGTATTGGAATTAATCGCCGAGTATGGTACATTTGGAATAAGGTATTGTAGTACAATTATGAATACTTTAAGATATGATAAACGTTATCCTATTTTTTATAAGCATTACCAGTATATTTGGGTCTCACATATCTTAATTTTTGTTCTTAGGTTCAAGATTGTTCGCCTTGTAGTAGCTTAAGTTATTTTCAATGGCTTTTTTTTTTGTTATAGTCCAAGTGTTCTAGATAGAGAAACAATGTCTCTACATCCAACATTCGTGGAATATATGGAAGGAGCCAGATTATATCTAGAGAATGAAACTAAGGAAGACAAAGACGCACCCGCCCAACAAGAAGTAAAATTACATTTCTGTGATTTTATCAGAAAAATGATCAAAAGTTTTTCTCGTAAGTGTACATAACTTAATAATTGATAATTTCTAAATTACAACAATCATGAACCAATATTTCATATTTCAGTTGAAACTTGTACTACTTTATTAAAGCGAGATTTACGAAGTGGCCTTTTTAATTTATTTGCACCGTGGTCTGGGCCTTTTGCTAAGCCATTAGGCTACACTCAAAGTCATTCATCCTCTGCAGATGCAGATGAAAAGTTACAAATGTCGGCTTTGCAGGTAAGATAATTCTAATTCTAATTGAGAACTTAAGTTTTTTTCATTTTAATCATTAATAAAAAAATAATAGTCATTTTATTGTCATATTTCAAAAAAAAGTTTCATTGTGAGTCGGTGAGTTTATATTGTTCACTTATTAATTTTTTTTATATAATCGAAAAAAAGGTGAATAATTTAATTGCTAATTAAATAATCATTGAAATAGTCCAAATTTCGGAATAATTTCGTTTTTATTCTAGATGACTTGAATGTAATTTAAAGAAAACATATTTTTGTTGTTCGATATTTTTTTAATTTCTTATGAACAAACTGCTCGCGTCTATCTGAGTTTAATATTAAAATCCTTGTCTATTTATTTTAAATAATTATGCTAGTTTATAAATACAATTATAAGTTATAAATAGTTGGGATTAAAGATCCCAAGAGTGAATGTAAGTAAGTAGGTAGTCTGCATTACTTCAAGCATCAAGTTTCTTCACGGGGGGCGTAGCTCAAGTGGTAGAGCGCTCGCTTAGCATGTGAGAGGTACCGGGATCGATACCCGGCGCTTCCAATATCTTTATTTTTGTTGCAAAATCTAGCATTGTGAGAGATATTAGATTATTGCAGTATCGAATGAGTATTATGATAAGCTGAATAGAAATGAGCATATTTTAAAGAGAATATATAAAAATATATAAAAATAAGTCGGGTTTTCCTTCCTGACGATATAACTCCAGAACGCGCCAACCGATTTCGACGAATTTGCATTCGTTGGCAAGTTCTCGGGCTCCGTGAGGTTTATAGCAAAGAAAATTGAAGAAAAATTTCAACAGAAAAGCGTAAAACAGTTTTCTTTTTCACATACAGCGTTATCTCTGATACTTAGCATGTACTAAAAACCAATATTTTAAGTAGATGGTGCCGGTAGATACATTGTTTGACAGCTACTCATTTCCTTTTCAAATATAAAAGAAAAAAAAAAATTTTATCTTTCTCACGAAACCATCTGGTGGCGAAACGGAGTTCGCTGGGTTTGCTAGCTACTTATAATTAATATATTTATGATATGGAAAAAAAAAGATTTTTTTCGATTATCGAATGCGAATTATAATAATAATAAAACAAATGTTATGATGAATACATGACGATTACCTTTTGAATACAAAAATGTTAAATATCTATCGTACTCTAAGAACTGTCTCATACTTGTGTGTAGCACATGAATACATTGTGTGAATGCATATTAGGTAACAATCGAAATTTGACGCCTCGGGATATAAACTGATTGCTCTACTTTTACCAAACCGGATTGTTATATGATGCTTGTTTTGAATTGCTGTTCATGTTGCATTGAATCAACTGTTTTGTACTCACAGGGGGCGTAGCTCAAGTGGTAGAGCGCTCGCTTAGCATGTGAGAGGTACCGGGATCGATACCCGGCGCTTCCAGTAAATTCTTTTATGAAATTTTGAAAAAAACTATATTTGATATATTATCGACTATTTGATCATTTTATTTTAAAATCCATCATTGGAAATTAATAGTAAATAGGAGACCCCAAGGGTTCAGAGTCTCTTCCACCCTAGTTAGCCATGACCTTATCAATATTAAAGCTGTCGACCGATATTGGATCCCAATAAAATTATACTAACATAAACGCCTTTTCATTATTCGCATCCTATATTTCGAAATATAGGATTTTCGCAAACAACGATAATGTGTAAAAGGTATAGGATATTTATTTGTTTTTTTGTTATTTTCGAACGATATCTTTTACAGAATACGATAAATATTTATCATTTTGTCAATATTCTGCCTCTATTACACATGCTGTTAATTAATTCGTTATTTAATCTTGAGGTTTGCGTACAGTTATGTATACACTGCCTCTACTTTGATGGAGTTAATTTTTAATATAATCTCATGTAATTTTACCTTATTATTTTTATTTCAGGCAATGAGCGCTTTGTTGTGCTGCGGCGGATGTTTCGATCCATTAGCATTAGCTGAAGATGGATCTTTGTACCCTTGGCTGGATATGCTATTGTCGTCTACTGATGATAAGGTATTCAGTGAACTTTCCAACATTTTATTTTCTAAAAACTTAAGATGAAATATATATTAATATTTAGAACAAAATTTTATTAAAGAATTACCCAAAAATATTTAATGCTATATGTTTAAGCAATTCATCGACAAAATGCAAATTAAATAATTTATGACTGAAAAAAAATCTAGTGAACTGGTTTCTTAAATACATTTATAAATTATCTGAATAAAACTTTTGTCGCTAATTGGCATTAATTGCTATTTAAAACAGCAAAAAGAGGGATCTCATTTATAATTTAACCGGCTTCCTTTCGCGTAGAAGTTTTTAAGTACATAATCTTATTACGAAACAAAGCGAAATAAAGTTTTATGCTTTTAATATACAATAGAAATATATTGTTTCAATGTAAAAGACATACTATTTATATCCTTCATATTTTATTATATGGTATTAGAATCAAATTTTTTTCTAAGTAAGTTAAAGAATTTTCATTTAAATAATGATAATTTACATGAAAATAGTACTTGAAGTTAATTTATTTTGATCACGACACAAATTACATTTATACATAAAATCGCTTATGAATTCTTTGATATAAATTAAATAGAATTTTTGAAAAGTATGAATATTACTTTCAATTGAGTAAACCTAATCATCCAATATCATATTTTAGATATACCAGCTAGCTCGAGAAACTGCAGTGTTATTATTAGAAGCAAATCCAGATATTGGACCACTTTTGGATTGGGCTTTGGACAGATGTTACACTGGACAGCCTCGTGTGGCTGATGGATGCTTTATGGCCCTTGCCGCCATATTCAGTGCACGGTAAAAACCAATCAGCAAATTATTATTGGTTTCAACAAACCTTATTGTTAATGATATAATTTGACAGAATTATTCTCGAAATAATACATTACTCTGGTATAACATTAAAAAAACTTGTTCTGGTTTCATCAAGTTGACTTATTGTTAGACTGTAAATAGAACATATTTAAAAAAAATGATAAATTTATATTGAAAAAAGATGTTACAGATTATCTACTCATTTAGACATGAAATTTAATTTAATTTTTTTTCCATTAGTGAATATCCTTGTGATCACTACACTGCCGTTATAAATGTTACCTTGCTGAGTACTGGTTGTCCTCGTGCTGCAGTGCATGATACTGCTCTCCAACTTCTGCAGCTTTTGGATCGAAGATTTTTCGGAGATGTAGGACCCCCTTTGAGTGATGGCGACCAGCCCGGTAAGTCGATTTTAAGATTTGTTTATAAATTGATATAATATTGCCTATTGGAAAGTTATAAAAATAAATAATTGGCAAAAAGTTATTGCATTGCGGTTTTGAGATACCAAAATTTTTATAATAATTGATAATATAAAAACTCAAACCACGGCATAATATCTTTAATATATATACATATATATATATATATATATATATATATATATATTATTCACCGCATTTGCACATCCATACGCAATTAAATTTAGTAGTCGTTGAACAGTTGTAATTGTATCGATATTTATTAATAAGAGCTAATTGCAAGCGCACATTCCAAAAATAACGCTATTTAATATTATGTTATGGTATTAATAGAATCAATGGAAATAATTTCTGATTCACGTCCTATTATTAAATAATTTTGATACCTATAATCAGCTACATATTCAATGAGTATAGATAAAATATTACATAGTTTTTGGTGTAAGTATTTCTATAAACACGTACGCAATACATAAATACTTCCACTGATTGCCGATTGTTAATTAACCTAATGGATGAAATTCATTAACTATACCCTGTTTTTGTATATAAAATACATCACCCATCTCGAAATTCGAACCTTTGTTAATGATTTTAAATACGTTTGTATTGAAATGTAGTGGTTCAATTTAGATTTGAAATCTTCAAATCAGTTTCATTACACCAATTTCCATTATTAAATTATTACATTATACCATACCTAATTTTATTCCTTCATATATAATTGATCAATATTTTTGCACTGAATTTAGATATTTTTTGCAGAAATCCTAAATAGCTCTTTTCAAATTTCTGACTTTAAAATTTATTTATATTTATAGAAATATAGGAAATACTGAACATGAATTCATACCTGACAAACTTGTTTGATTAGTATTTTTATAAAACTTCATTTCGTAATAGGTATATACAAAATAGTTTTCTTACCAAAAACTGTGTGATATTGGAATAAATTTCCATATGAATTTCAATTGTTTGCTAATGTTTCGAAATTTGGACCACTCAATTCATTTAATGTTTATATTATTTGCATTAAACCAGAATATGGCATAGGGTAGAGTGCAATCAATTACTGATTTGATCATATCAAATATACATTTGAAAATGGTAAACAATTGAAACTAGGCTGTAGTTTGAATTTAAGTGATTGATACATACATCTCTTAATTGCGTTTAGCTAATTTTACGTTTTAATTACCGGGCTGAGTTATTATATTGTATATTTGCGAATTATGTACAAATTATTGATATTGTGACGAGAACGGTTGACGCCCCCTTTCTTCGATTTAATATCAATTGAAAATAATTAATTTCTTTGCGCCAAGTTTATAGTGGAAATTATCGTAAAAATAATCATATATATTATTAAAATAAATCGGCGAATATATGAGAGATTAAAATCCAAACATTAAACAAACGATAGGCTATTTGTGAAATGGAAATACATCTTAAGCGCTAATTTTTTCAAATAATGTAGATAATTGTCTTCTTCTTCATAGAAATTTATTAAGACGTTGAAAAATGTACAAAATCGAATTAAAACATGGAAATTGATTCTAAAATTGGAAAATTAACATATCAAAACTAAAAGATTTATTTAATCGAATTACAAAATTCTGCGCCAGTTTTATGGGTTGTGAAATAATATATTGTATAATAATATCATAATGAGTATGGATAATTTATACGTTTTATTATCTCATATGTGCCATCATTTAGTAGGAGAAAAACTTCACAGAATATACATGATAAAATACATTTTTTTCACAAAATTATAGAGCACTCCCATAATAGTATGTATGTACATGTGCATTAATATACTAAAATTTTATGACATTGATTGTGTTTTTATCATTGTTATATTTTGAAGCTCTTCTCCTGCTGAATGATGATACATATCAAGCGTCAAAAAGTATAAATAATTGTTTCAATTTTATCAATATTTTCTGCATTAGCTAAATCATCTGTTTCCACATTCTATTTTTGTGCTTGATAACATTTGTTTTGTGAGAAAGGTAAAGGAACTGACCCGTGGACAAAAGTAAAGATTTCGAGATAAAAGGTTTAGCATTAATCCAATATTTAGAAAGGGTTAACTTATCTCCCATTGTAACATGTCGACGACAAAAACTCAAACAGTTTCAATCCATCACCCCGTTTTGACTTTCGTTGGCGGCACAATAGTAGGTAAACTCATTTCCGAGATTTCGTTTTGTTCAGCTCACCTCTCTTTTGAAAACAAATCTAAAACGAATTTTCAACGAGCATTCGTGAAACTTTATAATGGATTTTGTCTGAAAATTATTTGGGTATATATCATATCAAATGCCGTAACTGCGTAAAATTTTCACAAAGTTTTCTACAAGCGATTCATCATTATTTAAAAATATCGAGGTTTTTTGCTTCGACGGTTTGAAACGATCGATTATGCGAGTATTGATGAGTGTGTGTGACTAATTTAGGAAAATATATCGTGTCTGTTATTAAGTATTCGCATTTTTTTAAATAAAAGCTGTCAATGGCACATTTGCTATTAAAAATGATGTGACGTGACATAATTTAGGCGGGCACCATTGTATTGTAAATGAAACGTATCAGCAAAATATGTCATACAATTTATAACCGATTTATAAAAGATTTTCTTTGATCATAATTATTTTTATTCCAAATATTTAATACATAATATTTAAATGATTATAAAATTATAACACATAGTACACATTACATTTATCATTTAATAATATTTATATCATCCTAAAAAGTAAAAATTTATAAGGAATTTTAAATATATACATCAATATTTACATTCTTTCCCAGTAATATATTTATTCAAAAAATAGTTTTCAGTCTTTTCTGTTAATGACTTACGTATTTTATAGCACACTATTTTTATACAATTCAATAAAGTAATTACGTACTATTATGAACATTGAGGACTAGAACATAAATTGTTCGTAATTCAAATTTCTTGTATTAGAATATTATTTAATATTATTACAATATTTGTAGAAGTTTAAATTTTGTACGATGTACACACATATAGCCCATATCAATTTCAATTTTTTAGGTGCATAGTATAATCATCTTTATATAATTAATTTTAATAATTTTTTAATAAGTACTTACTGACTTAGTGTTATTTTACTGACTTTGAATAAAACAATAAACTTGCAGTTAAGTTTTGTATTAATATTTAGTGGAGCTTGGGTAGGAACTTTTGGCGTTGAGCTTTTGTCAAGTTATTACTTGTTTTAAGCAACGTATGCACTGCTGTTTCATTTACGGAATATTCCTAGAAAACATTGTTTATGGAACATTTCTTATCCTTTATGAATCGCGAACTGAATTTCTGAAATAACACGTGTGGAGTTACGTCAAAAGTCATAGTTCGCTTGGCTCATGTAAAATGGAATATATGAGAAAACAGTCCTCAAATGGGGGTATGCAAATCCCTGAAGTTGTATATTTTTTCTGAACATCTGCTAAAGGGATTCTGAATAGTAGGATTTGAATGAAATACCGCAGCTTGTTTATACGATTTGAGCTTTTTATATTCAGGATTATGGTTAAATATCGTTTATGTATTAAAAAGATATTTTTAGTTTTGTATAAGAAAATAATGACAATAATAAACGACTGTTTTTCTCTATTTTGGATCGAATGGCATATTGGAAATTTTGATTCATCAGAATTACTTAACTGATACGGTGTAATTGAATTAAGCTTTTTTTTACGGAATATACATTGATACATACTCGATGCTATTAGAGCCTTATAAAATATCTTTTCTTTGCTGGTAGTTATTAAGTCGTTAGTATACGAAAGCTTCAATTGAATTATTCAATTTCATCACATTATTTTTATTCGCATCTTAATTAACTAAATCATAACTTATTAAATATAAAATATTTATCCTTCTAATAATTTTTCATATACGATTTGGTTTAGGCTCCTTCTTTCATTTAGTGATATAAAACATTCGCAAAGATTTCATTCTCTCACACTCAGAATTTGACATGCAAATTTTAGTAGATTGTGTATGATTAAAGACATATATTATATATATTTTTTGGCAATTTAACACAGATAATTTACAACGTTTTTTTAGTTGTGCATTTAAGTCCACAGTTAGGCCAATATCTGTGGACACAAATGAACAAGTTTAATTTTTTATATAAAGTTATTTAAATTTTACTGCTTCATGATAAATATAATATTACATTTTAAATTATTTGGTAATTGTTAATCTTTGGTATTTACTTAAAATTGCTCTAAACGTTAATATATTTCTAACACATTAATATAAAATGCACATTAATAATAAAATTTGATTATATCAATTTTGAATATGGATAGTTTTTTTAACAATATTTATATTTAAATGACTATTTAAATTACAAAATACAAGTTATCAATATAAAATCATCTTATGATCGATTAAAAATAAAATTTCAACTTTTATAACACTTACATTATTGAGACCTTCTACTATAGACCTTATAATATACTTGTATAAGGTCTACGCCTTCAACACATTAGGATTTTACTTTTTTATTATTTGTTTTGAGAAAATTATTACTTTATGTTTCTTCTTCAATAGGCAATGCAATATATAATTATAAATTATGTTTAGAATAATTATTAAATTATTTGATTATAACGGCTTAAATTAACAATACATTTTCAATCACTTCGAATAAATTCCAAAAACTATTTCGAGTCCATGTCATTCTATTCTTCAAGATCTTACGGCTTATATTTGAAAAATATATGCTTTAACTAGAATTCTTGTTTAGATATTTATTCACAGTTTATTTGGCTGTTGGAAAAGTTTTTTTCGGACAGTTTGAACTTTCATGCTTAGAACTGATTAGGGGGCGAC